CACATTTAGTAGTTTCACTTCCCGTCGTGCCCAACACAGCCGCAATTATTGCCTCCTCAAAGTCCTTACTGTCCGGCAACAAATCATCCCAACAACTCTTTCCCGTCTCGTTAACGGATGCTTTCTTTCCCGGGCCCACCACCACAACGTGATTGGCCACAACGTGATTCCCCGACCTCGTCCTCTTGAGGCTCTCCCCACCAAACCTCGTCGAGTAGAATGGCTGCGCGTCAATGTTTAGCTGGTTTACCAAGATACCCCCTCCACCTGTTGTTTTTGCCGCCATAAGATTCGGGACAACGTTCGAATTGACATTCTCGTCGGCAAAAGGATCATGACTGGGGATAATGTAAGAAGGGTTTTGTTGTGGGGGCTGCTGCTGCTGCTCCCTGCAGGGCCGGGGCTGCCAAATTGCAGACGAGCCCAGGAAGGCATCGAAAAGTTTTCTCTGCTGGACTCGGTCACATCCGCCCTTGTTCATCATCTCCGACTCGAGGTCCTTCAACATTTCTTGGGCCCGCTCGTAGGCTTTGAGATGGGAGTCAACCCCTCTGGGCCCATCGGCCACTGCGGGCTTTACCCGGCGGAGAGTCTCCTTGGCCTCTCCAATCCTACCCTGCTTCATGAGGCAGATGCCGAGGTTGCACATCTTGTTGTTATCTGGTGCAAGCAGCAGGGCCCGCCTGTAGGCTTCCTCTGCTTCCATGTAGTTGTTCTGCTGCATCAGCGCCCACCCTAGGTTACCCTGCAACCCCACCACCACCCAAACAACTAATGCATAAATAAATGTTTATTCGCAGTAGTAATAGTAGTATTGTTGGTTAATGAATTGCTATGGTCAATTGCAAAAATTACAGGTTTATCATTACCAGCAATCGAGTAGCCTCTTGCTCGACCGACACCTGAAACTTTTTCCCTTGTGACCGAGCGGTTTTTGTGCGCTTGCCATTGAAGGCCATACCTTGCTGAATTAGGTACAGTTTGTGTCTCAGCAATGTGATTTGGTCATCCAATCTTCCACATCTCTGTGCAAAAAAACACAATTACATAATAAAAACCCAATCTTTACAGAAGACGGCAACAGAACTTAAAACTAGGAATAAAAAATGTAACATAATTATTATTTTACCTTGTAAAGGTCTAATAGGATGTTATCGAGGGATTCCTGGGCTTGATCGGAACATCTGCTGCGTAATGACTTGATGGCCTCGATCGCCTCCTCAGCCCGATTCTGCTGCTTCATGACAATGGCCATGTCTTTGAGAGCACTATCCACTCTATCCCCTGCGTTAATGGCCGCCCAAAACAATGGTATTGCCCTTTCGGGATCCTTATCCACCAGCTTAATCAACACAAGCAGCACAAATTTTAATAATGTTAACAAAGAAAGAGACCCTATTGGGAAGAAAAAAAAAAAAACAAAAGGAAAAATTGGATAAATTGGTTAAAATTCAAAATCTTGGAGACAGACTTGGACATTCTTGGCTCGGACATAAGGGGTGTCTCCAACTGGGACCTTGTGGGCGACGTGAAAGGCTTCGGAGCGAGTTCGTGAAACTCCCTGAAGAGGCTTGGCCGGAGAAGATGGAGCTGATTTCGTCGGTCGGAATCCGGGTGGCCCATTCCACATTTCTTGCATCATTTCTCTTTTATGTGATAAAAAGAAAAAAAAAAGAAAGTATGTGGAATGAGAAAATGGAAAGAGAGAGAGAGAGAGAGAGAGAGGGAGAGAGATGTGAATGACAGAGAAACACGAAAGCAGGGCGGGGTTTAGAAGGCAGGCGGCCTTAGGAGATTTTGATGTTCAAGATTTTGGAATCAGACCGTTGGAGGAATTTACCGTTTAAACAAAACTAGCCGTTGGGCTCGGTTTAATCATTTTTGTTATTAACTTATTGCGCGGCATTGCAAGAGAGATATATTTCTTTACTACTGCATTTATTTTTAGATATATTCTGCTCATTTTTCTCAATTAATATAGAAAAAAAATCGTTACATTTTATAGTAGTAATCAAGTATAAATAATAATTTTAAAATAATTATTATCTAATAGTTACTACTAGTACTAATCAGTTACAAATTTACATTATGTGAAAGTTACATACTTTTAAGAAAATTCTGTTGTAAACTTTTACTATTGTTTAAGATGTTTCTTCTACCATAAAAATTACTACCTCCTATTTTTAATATATCTCGTTTTGAAAAGTTGCACATTAATTAAGAATATTTGTTTTGTCAATAATAACTTTATTTAATGAAGATAGAGATGAATGTTTTGAGAAAAAGTGAAGAGTGAATATGAAAAGTCGTAATGTATTTATTAGCTAAATAAGGGTAATAATGAAAAAATATGTACAAAAGATCTAAAATGATATTTATTTAGTTAAAAGTTGATAAAGCTAGAATGTCATTTTTAAAAAAAAAAATAGGAGAGAGTATAATTTAGTCTTATTAAGTGATTTTTTTCTAATATTTATTAGTTGGTTTGAGTGGAATAATTAGACTTCTTAAAATCACATAAACAAATGTTATAACAATAATAAAAAAAATGTATTACTTTTCTAATTAATTAATTGGATGGTCTATCTAAATTAAAAATTACGTTATCCATTACATTTTATGCTATCAATATAACGTTTCATATGGAAGTATTTATATTTATATTGTGCATTAACATATAGTCAAACTTTTAAAATGTAATACACACTTTATCTAATTTTAATTTTTAAATATTATATACATACTTAAAATATATAAATTTTGTTTGTATTTATGTACGTAAACAAGATCAAATACTATTTTTGTAAAAAATAAAACATATGTGAATTTATTAATACAACAACAACGTTGTCACACAGAATCTTAAGAAAAAAATATTAGTAATTTTATGAAATTGTGAGTTACCACATTTATTATCTTTTTTTTTTTTCTCAAACGGCATAATTTCATAAATAGAACACATATTTACAAGCAGATGACAATCGAGCCGGAATGAGCAGCTACACAGTTGAAATCCTTGAGAGGACAACCCGAATTGTAGCCTATACGAATACGCACTACACTCAACAACTCCCAACAGGAGAATTCAGCTCCTAAAAAGAGAATATACACCACACACAACAAACACAAACCGAAAAAACAAACACTAACAACACAAAGAAAACACTAAAAACACAAAGAAAATACTAGATTAATCCCTCCCGCCAGCTGACCGGCAACCCCAGACCAAAGGCTGTGACATCGGACATGAAACAAGAAACTCCAGACCGAAGCCGACTAATGGGCACTAGGAAGCATTGCGTGCGCGGGTCGCACAGGCGCTAGGACGCGGAGTTCACGAGGACACTGGGGCGTCGTACAAGTTGCACTAGGACGACACGCGGTCGCACGCTGTGTTCCGTGTGATTCACGCGGAGCGCTGGGGACTGCAGTTGGCAGCGCGTGGGGCACCAACGACGATGCATGGGGCTGCGCCTAGTGGTTCTATCACGCCGGTGGTTGCCTTTTCCTCCTGTGGCGGTGCTCTACAAGTCTCATGGTCATCCAAGGTGCCGCAAGGACATATATCTTTGTGTATATTCGTCAATATGCAAAAACTAAACCTTGACATATTCTCTTTTATGACCTTTACACCTTTTATGAATCATCTTAGTAGAGCAACTAAACGGAACTCCCAAAGCCTCTCGATTTTTTCTCTTAAGACCTCTCAATTTTATCCAAATTTTTTCAAGAAGAGAACTCTTCTTTCTCACGTGTATAATAGGTGTGTGGAACAACGTACGTGAAGTCTTGAAAACTTGGTGTATTTATATGCTACAACAGTGATCCTAAGAAGGATCTAAATATGGGCTTCCCAAGTAGAAACGAGACACCTTGTGTTCATACTTGAATAATATAACATTGCACTAGAGTTATATTATTTTACTCCCATTTTAGTTCTGAATTACAATGAATTCATACCCGACTAATTTGCCGATTTACCTCTTACATGTTTAAGATATAAAGTCTTTTGTTAATTTAATTACTGACAATATAATTAATAACTGTTTGATACGAGTATAGTACCACACAAATCCTTTATTGCTATCTTGGACATTAATCCACCGGCAGGGTTTAACATAATAATCCTTCTTGAGCTTATTTCAGGGGCGTCATCAACCCGACAGACCGGGACATAGTGACTGTAAACAACCTTAATGGTACATCATGCACTCAACATAATTTACCAAAATGTAGAGTATGTCGACCTAAAAAAAATAAGTCTCATCCATAGTAAATCAAATAAACTAATATCGAATACATATACTCGTTTATTATCTTACGAATTAAGAGAACACAACAATTGCTGAGGCCTAGGTTATTTACTTGGTCAGTAAAATAATCTTATCCTCCTATAGGCCTGTCAAATACATACAAGATGTGCTAGTGTAATTCATTAGTCAAAGACCAACTAATTAAAAATCACTCTACAACCTTACGACAGTTTGTCTAATCTTGTCTGGGCTGTGAACAAATATTTATATTTTACAAAACACCGATAATATGATTTTTCTGTTCGATATATCGAACCATATTATCTACATGTAAAATAAAGGAACTATATTTGCATAAATATATAAACTACAAACACACACTTGACTAAAGACACGAACTTCATTCAAAATGGAATTTGGAGTATCCAGCTTCTATAGTATACTCCAACACTCTCCTACTTATACTTTAAAACTCTCAGCTTTTATAAGTATATACTCTTTCAATATTTATTCTCAAAAAACTGTTGTCACGCTCTTCAAAAAGCTAATTCTAAAAGGAACTACTTGGCCGTCTACTTACGTAACTAGGCTACAAAACATCCACCTTTTTGCAATTATTCGCAATGGGTCGTACTAGCACTATGAACTTATTTGTCTTTTGAACTTGTGATCCCTTTCCGTTTGCAACTGTATCAACTGTCATTTGAATCAAATTGTGATTTGACTTAGGCAAGCCAGAATTTCACATTCCTAGTCCAATAGAGGTTTTTGGAGTCACAAATCTTTCATCGTTTGCTCTTCAACCTACGACTTACTGAGTTTCCTTGGTGAAATCCATCAACGTTTTATAGCTTGACATTCTTCCTAACTATTAGCTCCACTTCACAAGTAAACACAAATTTCAAGGTATATATTACGTATCATTCACATCTGATTAGAAATAAAAACCCTTTGTAACTCATAACCTACATTTTGTTTGTATAGTATGCCAACAAATAATCCTTAGTCCAGTTACAACACTTGACTATACATCACATGTTTTATGATTACTTTAATATCTACTAACTTTGCGTCACACATTCTAAGAATGAGTCTTGTGACATTACAGACACAAATGTCGAGATAATCTTAACATTTTTTTTTCTCTTAATCCTTGACCTCAAGAATATGTGCCGATTTTCCTGAATGCTTTACATCCAACTGCTTGGATAACCATACCTATACGTCTGACAACATCTTCACACTGTCTCTTGTTGATCATAATGTCGTCTACGCACGACATAGTGTCGTCTACATTGTCTCTTCACACTGTAAGTTAGAAATTACCGTTTGGACTGCCAAAAAATCTTTAACATTTTTGAAGGATGCAATGTCGAATTTCAAATTGTCAAAAACATTCAATATGGATGTTTGATAATTTGGCTATAAGATTGACTTGGTCGAAGAAAAAAGTTGAAAAAAATGAGAAAACACTGTTATAATTGTTGAGGAAAAAAATACCTTTCTTTGAAGTAGTGGATTTCAATAACATCGTTGCAAGTTAACATTTTTGTTGCATCATAGCAGTTAGTACTCCTTACAACATCTAAACAATTATAAAGATACAAAATTAGAAACATCTTTGCAATATAAGATGTTAAAAGAATTATATGCAAAGAATACCGTCGTCAAAAGCCTTGGCCCGACACAACTGAATTATAACAACACACAAATCTGGCGGAGATGAGTCCTTGAATACATCAAGAATAATATCGATAAAATAATGTTAAATAATGTTGATTGTGAATTAAATCAATAAAGGAAAATGTGTTGATAATTAAGTTAGATATAAAATTAACTTATTACATAAATTGCACCATTGTGTTGATAATTAAGGTAGATATAAATTCATTTTGAGCGGATTAATTTCTAAATAAGCATGCCTTACTCTTTTTAAAATAAATACTCCATTCGTTTCCGAATAAATATTGTGTTGAATTATATTTTATATTTGCTTATCATTTTAATCTATTTTTTAATTATACAAACAAATAAAGTACAACAGGTAGGATAAATAACTGAAATATTACGTTTGTTTAAATACATTATTTTATAAGTTGGCATAGAATTGAACTAATTATTATATGAATTATAATTTGCTAACTTTATCTTTTATAAGGAAGAGTATACGAAGTTTATGTTTGAAAATTACTCACATATATTTAAGAAGAGAATTTTTTTTTTTACTTAAATATATGTAAAATTCAGATTCTAGAAGCCTCTAAATCCAGTACCGATTACTTGAGGGCATTGTGGTTCAAAGTACAAACCCGATCTTCGCGCAAAATTGGATAAACTCACACCCAAAAAAAAAAAAAAAAAAA